GTAATCATGTACCGTTATTATATTTTTCTGTTCATTCATTCATGGTTTTTATTCAGAATTCAAATATGTCTGTAGAAAAATTGTCTTAGTATGGTCTAGGATAATACCAATTTAATCCTGTAATTCTGCTGTCCAATCTGTCTATCTCATTTTCAAAATGTGTAGACTTCTTTCGCAAGTATGCTATACTGCCCACAAACTCTTCAGATTCATATTTCATTGCTTGTACCTTGGACTCAAAATTATCAGACTTCCGTTTAAATTGTGCTATCTCGTCCTCAACAACTAATATGATGCTTTTATTTGCAGATATCTTCTGATAAATTTGTTTTAGGTCAGTCCTAAACTTCAAGTTTTCTATCTCTCCTGAATTTTTATATACTGTCTCCTTCAATTTCTCTATCTCTTCTCTCTTCAAATCTTTTATCTCTGCTGAATTGGCAGATATCTGTTCCTTTAATTCCCCTATCTCTTCCCTCTTCAAAACTTCTATCTCTGACGAATTTGCAGATATCTTCTCCAGCAATTCCTTTATCTCAGGTAAATTTGCAGGTACCTTTTCCTGCAATTCCTTTACCTCTGGTAAATTTGCAGGCATCTTTTCTTGCAATTCTTCTATATCTGATGAATTTGCAGGCATCTTTTCCTGCAATTCCTCTATCTCTGATGAATTTGCAAATATCGTCTCGTGCAATTCTTCTATCATTGATGAATTTGCAGGCATCTTTTCCTGCAATTCCTCTATCTCTGATAAATTTGCAGGCATCTTTTCCTGCAATTTCTCTATCTCTGATGAATTTGCAGATATCGTCTCCTGCAATTCCTCTATCATTGATGAAATTGCAGGCGTCTTTTCCTGCAATTCCTCGATCTCTGATAAATTTGCAGGCATCTTTTCCTGCAATTCCTCTAGGTTTACCTCTGGTATATTTGCAGGCATCTTTTCTTGCAATTCTTCTATATCTGATGAATTTGCAGATATCGTCTCCTGCAATTCCTCTATCATTGATGAATTTGCATGCATCTTTTCCTGCAATTCCTCTATCTCTGATAAACTTGCAGGCATCTTTTCTTGCAATTCCTCTATCTCTGATGAATTTGCAGATATTGTCTCATGCAATTCCTCTATCTTTGATGAATTTGCAGGCATCTTTTCCTGCAATTCCTCTAGGCCATTCTCTGATAAATTTACAGGCATCTTTTCTTGCAATTCCTCTATTTCTGATGCATTTGCAGATATCGTCTCCTGCAATTCCTCTATTGATGAAGGTGCAGGCATCTTCTCCAATACCTCTATCTTTCTCAACTTCAATTTGTCTGACTCTAGGCCTGTTTCTCTGTCAATTTTCTTATTTCTGTAAGACATCAGCTGCTTCAAATTTCCTATCTCCATTGCATTTTCTCGAATACCAGATAATTTCCATTTCATATCTGTAGACGTCTGCTGCTTCAAATATTGTAACTCGGCAGACATCTGCTGCTTCACATATTGTATTTCTGTAGACATCTGCTGCTTCACATACTGTATTTCTGTAGACATCTGCTGCTTCAAATGTTGTATTTCTGTAGACGTCTGCTGCTTCAAATATTCTATTTCTGTAGACATATTCCGCGCATTCATTTCTTCAATCTGTGTTATGTTAATATTGCTGAATTATATTACTCTGCGAATTATGCCACGATATAATCTTTCGTGAACGTATGTGACCATTTCTTACTTCCGGGTTAGATTTTGACAAGCATACAGTTTAAAATTAAATACTCATTTGAGAGACCACAAACAAATTAAACATGACCTATTTTGACAACCAATTAATTATTTACCGCATTTCTATATTGAGTTGCGCCAGACGGTTAAACATGATTTTTTTTGGCAAGCATTATAGTTGTCGTTGACGTGTTTAAATAAGTCACTGGTCATACAATCTGCTGATCTGACTCTTAATAAGGCATATATTACCATAATGAGCGTGTTTTAACTGAGAGGTTTACGAGAACGCGCATGGAAGACTGGGCGAGGTTGAGTGGTAATCGCTGACTCTTCTATTGAATTGAATACAGTGGTGGCGCTAGCGAGTGGAAGGGGGAGGGGGGTGGAGGAGGCAGGGGAATTTCCCCGTCGGGCAGGCCTGGATCCCCTGTCGTCCGACATAATTTGCCTTTCCAAATAACGTTATTTTGACTGCCAATCCCTAATATTGAAAGCACATTTTGGACTATACTAAGCCATAAAAACACTCACTGTGAACCCTTCAAGGGAGTTTTTATCAGCGTCGTATCTAGAAGTCTTGACGTGGGGTGATGATGGGGAGGCTGTCTCTTATACACATCTGGGGGGGGGGGGGCCTCGATGATCAATTGAAGAGGGGAGTCTATAAAACGAAGACCGAAAAACGAAGACCCACATGTTTTCTCTCAATTAAAAACCCATATTTATCAAGGTACGTACATGAAAAAAGTCTAAATTCCACTCACTCGTCATCACTGAAGAAGGACGAGCGTTATCTGAGAGCTCTGGTGTTTGGCTGTTTACCTACGTTTACATTTTAGCTGTCACTTATAAAATGTGTATCTCTACCGAGATCCAGTCATTGTTTCCGACAGCATCGTTTTTTTTTCCAGTATTTTGCCTTATAACTCGTTACCACTGTTAAATTATATATAAATCATCAAAGAACGGTAAATACATGTTCGAATAAAGGACATGATGGTACTTTATGATTTTATTATTATATTATGATAGTACAGTATCATTATAGCTCTCAACGAATGTTGCCCTATATATACACAAAATTCATCCGAGAGGATTTGAACCAGCAACCTCTCGCTGTCAAGACGAGCGTCATTACCATTATATCACAGAGGCTTCATGGCTGAACAGATTCAAATATCCGTCAGGTACACTCAATTACACAATAAATAGTACGGCTGGAAACAATTTATATTATATGCTACTATGTATTCAGCTTCTGAAAACAGAAATGCAAGTTACAATAGACCTTTCCGGAGTGTCAATCAAACTTAACAAATGACCAATCAGAACTGCGCTAGGAATGCACACGTCTCACAAACACTTGCTGTCTCACAAATGGGACCCTAGCAACAATATTAAAGGGGCGGGGCTTAGCAGAAAGGTCTATTACATGTGAGATTAGACTTTTTTAAGCTGTTGCTAGTGTGTGCAACAGGAGGATGTTAATTGATTAGAATTGTGTGTGCTATCCTTGATTTGTTTCAATTCTGTACTTGTACATATTAGTACATATTAGCACTGTCCATGCCTATATCAAATCGCTTTAGATTATTTCCTAGCGATTAACTCCTTGTGCCACCTCAGCTTCGTGATGGGGAATATTCGTAGCCTTGCATGGATTCAACATTGACCATATTCACCATACAACATTCGCAGTCCACATTTCGCCATCGGTAAGTGTTCGTTATAGGACCGTAGTAAATGGTCAGCATGGAATTTTTAAATCGCATTTTCCAAACCAGGAAAATCTGGAATAAGAGTTCTATTTTTTGGGATGTAAATTCAATGACCATGAAGATCATGTTTGAATTCACCTTGTTCAACTTCAGGTAAAGAAACTACACATGGCTAGTATTTTTGTGATCCGTAAGTGCCACAGAACACTAAACCATCGAAAAATAGGAGGGTCGAAAAATCACGAAATTCTGACAAAACGTGAGCTATACATTTTGCCAAAATTGGGCTATTTTTCCTGCTCATTAAAAATTTGCAATACTTTACATTTAAAAAATGTACAATACACCATGGAAAAAATGCTGCGAGTACAAAGTTCTTATAACAATCGTTTATTGTCAACATTTTTGCACAATGCTTTAAAGAGAAGACAAATATATTTGTGGACAGAAGTCTTCACAGCTCTGTTGGAAATTGTTGGTGTTTAAAACTAACAATTGAATTCTTTGGTCTTGCTCCGATAGCAGAATTAGTCACATGACCAGATGTCAAAGAAGTTGGCGACTGAAATAATCCTTTGCTTCTGCCTTTCACCGCCATCACCTTAGTTGGCTGCAAACAAGGAAAAACCAATATTACAGACACATAGCTTATAAAGTGAAAATTCCTAGAAAATATAATAAAACATTAAAAGGCTTAATGAGAAAGATGATGGTACCGGATGCACAATGAGACCAAGATCTATTCAGTTTTCATTGAATCAGACTTTTTAACTATGAAAATTTAAAAAAGTAATTGAAATTGTTTCCATGCTTACTAGTTCAACACAGACCTTTTAATTAACATAAGTAAATAATTAGAATAGGGATGTTTCATATTTTATATAACATTATTCTCAAAAAGGATACAAGATACAACTGCCATGGTTATATATCTATTCTGCACTTCTAAGTTTTATTTATTTATTTCGGTACATAAACACATCAAATTATACAATGGACAGCAAAAGCTGAATATATTGTATTTATAATTACACAAAGTTTAAGAATATAAAAGTATAAAGTAATATTTAATAAGCATCAAACCCCTTCATTAGGGATATATCAATCAATCAGTAAATCATTTATAAAGCTTCAAGTCTCCACATATTATTACAATGTTACCTTATTTTGATCTTTGCTGGATATTTTGCGTTTTTGGTGTTTCTGCCACAAGCTCCCTTTCATCAGTTGTGGCATAAGTGTTTGATGTAAATTGGAACTGAACAGAAGTGGATTGAGTACATCACACACTTCTAACTGTAAAGCACAGTTAAAATACATATATCAATAATAATATTAATGTTAATAAAAATAAAATTTAAGATGATGATAATAACATTTGTAACATTGTTATTCATAATACAGTGAAAAGTATAATAGTTACATTTATGTCCATTGTATTACAAAATTGTATGTATAAACAAATGCACAGTTATTAACTCTTCCACTCCACAATCATTATGTAAATATTACATAATTACATGTTATCCATTACACAAACACTATTATGTGTGTATATATATATA